TACTTATCCATCATGCCTTACCATCAGGGAGGCGTGTGATTGGCCCCAAATTTAGTTTGCAGCAGGACAACCACCACAAATATACAGCTAATGTCATTAAGAACTATCTTCAGCGTAAAGAAGAACAAGGAGTCCTGGAAGTGATGGTTTGGCCCCCACAGAGCCCTGATCTCAACATCATTGAGTCTGTCTGGGATTACATGAAGAGACAGAACGATTTGAGGCAGCCTACATCCACAGGAGATCTGTGGTTAGTTCTCCAAGATGATTGGAACAACCTACCTGCTGAGTTCCTTCATAAATTGTGTGCAAGTGTACCTAGAAGAATTCATGTTATTTTCAAGACAAAGGGTGGTCACACCAAATATTGATTTGATTTGGGTTTCTCTTCTGTTTCCTCACTTTGCATTTTGTAAACTGATAAACATAAACAAGTACTGTATATATTTTTGAAAGCATTCTTACTTTACAGCATTTTTTCACACCTGCCTAAAACCTTTGCACAGTACTGTGTATATATGTGTGTGTGTGTGTGTGTAAACTTTAATAAAAATATTTAAAAAAGGATTGAAGGAAGTGGTGTATGGATGTGGAAGAAGCAAAGGTGATATGCAAAGATAGAACTGAATGGAGAGATACAGTGAATGGTTGATATAAACTAGATTTAGCTATATTTCCTTTCCTTATCCTTATCTCATGCTTTAATTCATTTGGCTTACTATTTCTTGTTTTTGTTCTATGCTTTGCATATGGTGGCTTACCCTAAAAAGGAATAGTGTGATTGTTGTATATTCACATAACTAGAAGAATGACAGTGCCTTTGTTTAGACTTTAACTGAATTGAGTGATTGTGTGTGATCTCTGTTAGCCAATTAAAAATTCTCTATCTCTTAAATTGGGAGAGAAGATAAAGATCTTCCTGGTTAATTTATGAACAAAAACATAAAATAAAATACAGATTAAAATGTATCTTTAAATTACATGATGATTTTTCTATAGTATGAGGCATTTAATATGTTTGAATCATAATAAACTCCAGTTTCTCTGATAGGAATGAGCCAGTGGAAACCCAAGGCTTGCATGTCCCTCTCCATCTCTGGTGCAGCTGCAAAAATTAATTCCATTTATTATTAACTGAAACTCCTATCATCAAATGTGTTACTTCTAGCTACTGTTTATTGAAATAAGCCATTTAAAATTATGACTTAAGAAACTGAGTTGTTTCACAACAAATGATAGCTAACATAACTAGAGTTTACAATTTGAATGTAGCCTAAATTGGATGTGATCTTAATAAAAAATGTTAAGAGAAAGCTCCTAGTCATCTTGTCATGCTAGAAAAGACATGGAAGAAGCGTAATGTACAAGGCCAAGGCCACACTGAGTCTCATTTCCATCATGAGACCATTATTTATTGTGATGTACGGATGTAGCTGATGAGTGATGGCAGTGATTATTTCTGTCTTAAAGATGAACAGGTAGCTTTAAAGAAGAAACTAAAAGAAACTTTGGAAACAGAGTCCAGATATCACCAGCGGCAGGCAACTGATTCAGTGAAAAGCTGCTTCGAAAAAGGACAAAACACTCATCAAGTAAAGGTAAAAAATAAAACATGGTTATTGTATCCATTGCTTGCAAGAAAAATGCTTATATTTTTACTTCTGGCTCCACTGTATGCTATTGAATAAAATAGATGCTTCCAATTTAACTTGCATTTATTTGCTTGTTTATTGCTACTGGACCATAAGATGTTATCACAGCCTGGGAAGTTGTCTCCCAAGCACTCCTAGAATTAGTTATGATCCATAATACAGGAGGTGGTTGGTATTATTTTGTGGATAAAATTAATTACATGATTGTGTGAGGAAAATATACCTTTGGGTGAAAGAAGCAAGTTTTTAGAGGCCTCAGATGAATGGGATAGCCTTAATAAAATTGAAACATGAAGGAACATACAGCACCCTTGAAGCTGGTGTGAACCAGGCTGGTGGTAAATGATAAAATTAATTACATGATTGTGTGAGGAAAATATACCTTTGGGTGAAAGAAGCAAGTTTTTAGAGGCCTCAGATGAATGGGATAGCCTTAATAAAATTGAAACATGAAGGAACATACAGCACCCTTGAAGCTGGTGTGAACCAGGCTGGTTGTAAATTCCTTATCACAAACTTCCCCATAGCAACCAAGGCATTTGTCTTGAGGGAGGACACCTTCTTCCTGGCATTTGGCACCTTGAACTAATTTGTTTCTTCTTCTCTGTGACACTATTG